GGTTCTAACATCATACTGAGATTTTGATAATATATTAGAAGCAGTAGTCCGTCCTACTTTGTATTTGAATTTGTATCTTCATATTTGAAGACAGTGGTATGACCCAACAATTCATGTTTATTCATAGACAGGGAATTTATTCCTTCGACATTTATTTAATATCTATTCCTTTCCTCATATCTTGACCAGTCTACATGGGTTTTTGTTTGAACTAAAGGTTGGCAGGGGCAGTGCTCTTAACACCGGTTGTGAATTACTGGTGGAGAGGATTTCCAAGAAACGTGTCTACAGAAGCATACTACAAGCAACTTCCACGGGATCAGTGGACTCTCCGTATTTCTCATTATCTTCCATGGCTCACCTACTGGTGGAACACACAGACACTTTTTCCTAGTTCAAGCGTTGCAGCTAACGAGCCTAGTATTCTCAACCCAGAAGACACAGAAGTGGTGATGACCAAGTACGACCCCTCTAGAGAGAAGTATGTGGTAAGAGTTTTGTCACTTTTGTCTTTCTCAATAAATAGGTGAGAATATTTGCACTAAGATTGAATAATGAACATTATTCATGTGCAAGTTCAGGAACAAGTGAGACAGCAAGGAGAATTTGAGTCTCTCCACCGGGACTTGATAGTTGGGTTCGGTAAATGGGAGTTTGATCCAATGGAATTGGAAAATCCGTTCCCTAATAATGAAGGATCGGTTCACTTGTGGCAAGGGGATGAGGATGGGCTTGTACCTGTTACATTACAACGATATATTGCCCAAAAGCTTCCGTGGATCCATTATCACGAACTTCCCGGTTCTGGTCATATGTTCCCATATGTTGATGGCATGGGAGATAAAATTGTCAGGGAACTTTTAAATCGGAGAAGCTGATCTTGCATAGCATAGATGCAACTCTCACCAGTCACCAGGCTTTGCATATCTGGTGCTGGTTCTTATCATAATACACTGCAAGTATGTATTATGCAACGTTTTCGATACAGGTTTGTAACACAGGTTGTTGCAACAAAACGTATCCGATGGAAAGGCTGTTTCATACTCCGTGGTACGTATGTATTTGTAATAGAAAATTTTAAGTTATTCGCTGCGAAGACTAATGATTATACTACTCCTTCGTGCTTTAGTGTCTGCTACACATTCCCTTTTGGGATGTATTTAAAAGTCTACTACACTTTCTCCTCTTGGTAAGTTTTCCCTTTAAAAACACTCAATCACCCCTATATTTTGTTTTTTATCTTCTTTTTTATACTTTTACATCATTTCTCCCACTTTTCTTACGCTATTCATTACCCCTACTCATTTCGTCTTGGAATAATGTGTCAAAATCTATAATAGTAATCCTTAAAATCTGGAGTGCTTCTTTTGTCATTTCTGATGCAATAAAAAACTTAGCTTTGAGTGATAGATTCTAAGATTCCCATCTTAGTATCCTACGTAGTATGTACTCCGTATTTAGTATGAGTGTTCTAATTAAAAGTAAGCTAGTCCTTACTGTCCTGAACTATAAATGGACCAACTATAAGGAGTTAATAGATGGTCTTTGATAATAAAAAATACTCCTTCCGTCCCTTAAAATTTTGCGATTTTCCCTTTTCAGTAAAGAATTGTGGTTCCAGATAATTCTCTCTCATTTGCACAAACCTTAACCACAGTTTTTATTTTATTAATTCTCGTCTTAGTCAAACTTGACAAAGTTTTAAAAGACAGATGAATTAATATAAAAATGAAAGTAAGAAAAAACACTCCTCTAAAATCCCACTATTTGAGTATGATGAGGGATAGGTCTTAGACCAGTTTAAGGATGGACCGGGTCATTGTCGGGTCCCAATTCTTGGCCGTGATTGCCGGCCTATTGCATTTTTTTCAAGGCCCGGGCCCAACCTGTATTAATGCTGGCCTATTCCATTTCTTTATATATATAAAAATTGTTTAATGCATGAAATGCGAATATAAGTTAAAATTTGTTATTCTTTTTTAGCTATTAATTTTATAAAAAGATCATATACAAGCATTTCCTAATTTTCAAATTACAAACTCATCTTGACCATTAGATGAATTGATCTAAACCCTATAGATGTATGGTGATATTTTGGTAATAATATCAAACTTTATTTGGATGCAACAATTTGAACATTAATATGCAATTGCTTATCTTACGGCACAATAATATGCAATACTTTGAACGTTAATATGTAATACAGATAGCGTAAAGATGCATCGTACAAATATTTGCACAATAAGCACTGTTTATACTTTATGCGTAAAGATGCATAAAGGTGCGTAATTGATGAGATAAATGTTGAGAAATATTTACCAAATATAATTTGGAAAAAAACTAAAAAGCTACATTTTCAAAACGGGGGTGGGGGGTGTTTTTTTTATATGAGATGTGAACATCTCAAGGTGCATATATAGTGCATTTCGGTGTAGATTGTATTTGATCTAGTGTAACCCATGATTTTCAATTGACATAGATTTTTTTTTTTAAATTATTATCTTGGAGTGTCCTAGTTAAATCTAAATAATTGGATGTTCAATATTATAGTTTTTTATATACTATATAAACATGAAGCATTAGAATTACAATTGACTTAGTTTTTTTTTAAAGAAAAATTTCTTAAATGAAACTTATTGACAATTGACAAATAATTTGTTGTCACAGTCGATCACTTAAGGGTACAAGTGCAGTTAAACATGAGTTCTTATGACTATTGTTTTGATAAGCTCAGGCGCAACAACGCATATCTTTCATTCACAATCAAGCAATGTTGGGAAATCCCACAAAAGTCATACAATAAAAAAGATGACAAAGTAGGTCATTTCTAAAAATAACATGTACACCACATGGTAAATATGACCATGACAAGCTAAATAGTAGCAGCCTAGCTGCCTTTCTGATAAATGTGTTCAACCTTAATCATCTAGTCTCGATCCAACAGCTCACGAAAATCGGCGACCTCAGAAAAGTGTTGGCGTGTGATCTCCTCGGCCCTTATCAGAAGCTGGATTGCAGCACGTGAATCCAGTTGCCCGAACTTTCCTATATCCGTTCTCCCAATTAGCCAACTGCAATCCTGTTACATCAGCTCTCAATTCAGCCCTAGTGATCGAGCAGACACCAAGGTTCATGCTATAATATGTCAAGCAGCGACTATTAACATCGTGGAACAAACCTCATGCAGCTGCTCACTCGACTGCTCCTTCGATTCCAGGTATAACTGACCCGTCGGTATTAAGAGCAATCTACTCGGGTGGTGGTGACGGTCAATAGACATAAACCACCATCTTGGCAAGAAGCAGTACTATTAAAATAGTAATCAACCCTTAAGTAACTATTAGTTACTACTATAGTGACTCCATGAAAGAGGTCACATTTTTTTGTAATCAACCAGTTTTAGTCATAAATATGTAATCAATTTTTAAAATAGTATACAATAGACAAAGAAATCTAGAAGAAGAGATAAATAAATTATTACAAAAGTGAAGCTAAAGGAAAATTACATATTTATGTTTTAATTTTTTCTTACAAAAAGTAACTAGTGACAATCTAGTATCTATTAGTCATATTTGTGTAGATAAACTTTATTTTGGTAATATTTTTGAGAAAAAAAAACTCTAAAGTTACTACTTTAAAATTGTGCCCGACGTTCTTTCAAAGAAATAAATTCATCAATCCCATATTTGAGTCAAAAGTTTTTGGGAATTGCCTCATTTTATTTTCATACGAAATATACACACACACATATGTATATGTGTGTGTGTATATACATACATATACAGAGAGAGAGAGTATTAGAGTAAGTGACACTTTGACTTTCTATATTTAGGAATTGAACTTGCTCTCAATTTTTTAGATTTTTTTTAAAGAATAGACTATAATTCATACTAAATGAATAATATGAGAAAAATAATTAAAATACTCCAAACTTTGAAGGGGTTTGAGATAAACATCCAGACTTTCGTATGTATTTAAATACCCCAAACTTTATATAAAAAGTTATTTTAACACCATGGTCATGTATTATTTCTTTCAAAACTGTAAATTTATGGTGTTAATTGCATAATTTAAAATAACAAATTGAAAACGTTGCAATTATATAGAGGGAGTAATAGTATTTATTTTACTATGGGAAAAGTACAGAAAAGGTACTTGTGGTTGGACCCGTTTTCAGATAGGATCATGTGTGTCATTCTTTATCAAAGTGGTTCATGTGTTTGAATTCCGTTATGACAAGAGGGTCAGCACAAACATATACTTACAAATACATATACATTAAAAATTTCGGGATAAACATACTTAGATTTTTTTTGGAGGGGCAGCAGCCCCCCTTTGTCACCCCCCTGTGTCCGCCACTGAAGAGGGTCACACCGTCAAAAACGTCTGAAAAAGACCGTTAAAAGTAACTCTGATTTCAAAAGTGCCAGGAAAATAAAAAGAAAAATATCGAAAGGTGCGCCTCGTCATGATGACCTCTAAACCACCTTTGCCTTAGGATCTTTCAGATCAGCTTGAATTATTTTTAAAAATGATTTTGCTAATATCACTTTTCCGGTGGACTTTCCGGTGACAAGGGTGGCCAAAAACAAAAAAGAAAGATGGCCTAACGATAATCTTATTGAGGCACACCTTTCGGTATTTTTCTTTTGATTTTTCAGACACTTTTGAAAATCGAAGTTACTATTAACGGTCTTTTTCAGATGTTTTTAACGGCGTGACCCTCTTGTGATAACGGAATTCAAACACATGAACCACTTTGATAAAAAACAAAAAACATGACCCTATCTGAAAATGGGCTCAACCACAAGTACCTTTTCCGTACTTTTCCCTATTTTAAATTATGAAATTAACACCAATAATTGACATTTTTGAAAAAAATAATACAAGGGCATGATGCTAAAATAACTTTTTATATATAGTTTGGGGTATTTAAATTATATATGCAAATTTAGGGCGCTTACCTCACACCTCTTCATATATATAGAGTACATGCCGCTTTTTGACTTAATTTCTACTTTTATCTTTCTTTTTTCACCATTAGTACATATTCAATTAAAATTTGGAAAGGCCTATGTTACATTTACACACACAGGAATTTATTAAAGTAGAAAAATTACAAGAGTGAAAAAACAAGAAAAAGACAAATAAAATTTCGACCCGAAATATTACAAATTGTCCCACCCATAATAACACAAAGAGTTCGGTCCAGCCTTCAAAACTTCACTTGTGTTTGGGATCTAGTTCTCATATGATGCGACCGCTGCTTCTCTTTTCGGTAAATCTTAATTTGAGTGTTCAAGTTCTGTGTAGGCAAGCAGTTATCTATCGTGACAAATTGAGCTTTGTTACAGATATCTCCATTCGTATCAGTCCCATAAATCTTCCATCAATGAAATAGGAGCCCTCTAATCGCTTTCGGAGGCATGACCAAGAAAATCATCCCCTGAATGTGTAAATCCCTTCTCGATGTAAGCACCCTCACTATCAAAAGCTTCAAAAATTGATTATCTGTAACAACATCCCTTGAAAGGTGGACCTCTCTATTTGCACAATCATCAACTTTCTCTTGATCAGCTGGCCTGTTCAAAAAATTACTCAAAGCGGAGTTGAGTATTCTTTCGAATTCTTTGATTAAAAATTGAGAAAGTAAGTGAACCCCTTCATTCATAGTAGTTTGAATGAATTCTTTTAAAGAGTCAAAACCAGGGGGTTGAGTAGAGTAGTGGATGTTGACATTGGAGAGCAATTCCAACGATTTAGAAGAATCAGATTCCTCAATGTCAATATGAAATAAGCCTCCAAAAATGGAAATGTCAGATTTATCATGTCCAGCCAACCAATTAGCAAGGGGCAAGAGATCCATCCCGAAACCATTTGAAGGTTTATCTAATGTGACCTTAGCTGAAGTCTGTCCAAGCACAAGATGTGACTGCTTAGCATCCAATTTTGTTTTTGTCAAAGAAATAGCTTTGATAATACATGTCAAAAATCTTTTAATCCCTAAACCGTTACGACCTTGTGGAATATATAAAGAATCTCTTCCCTTATCGATGATACGGATAAAACCTCCAAAATAGTTAGCATCATATAGGATGGAAAATGATTTGTTCAACTCCATCCTAGTACAAGATCAGTTCCCAGAAAAGAACTTGGGAATGGAGTCTTTCAACCAGATTGCCTTCTCAGGATCCAGAACAATATTAGATATAATCCCTTGCTTTGATTCAGATATGCGAAATGAGTGGCAATCAAGAATATGAATTTGGGGGGTCCGCAATTGTTCTATATTTGGGGGGGGGGGCATTTTTTTGCGGGGGCCAATTCTATATTGCTTATGTATATGACTTATTTATAAATGGGGGGTCCGCAACTGTTCAAAGGTATTTACAGAAATGCCAACACTATTGCAGCATCACGGTGCATTGGAAAGCTCATATGGTTCAATATTGTCGAATACAATGCAACATGTATTCCCATTTCTCACATAATTTTTTTTTTAACAGAACCATACTTTGTATACGTACATAAATTGAAAATAAATATAAGATCTAAGTGCATAGGTAGCACATTTTACATGTTTACCTATTAAATTGCTATGGGGCAAGAAATGATTTTTCCTATTAAATTAAGACATGTTTACCGTAGTGCTTTAATTGTCCACTCTCGAGTTAGGCAGTAAGAGTCATTGTGGGGCAATTATTCATTATATATATATAGTTGCTCGGCCTCCCCTATGAATTAAAATCTATTTTTTCCCAACCCTGCCTCGTTTTCTCCTCCCTCAACAGCGCTCCAAAGTTTCCATTGAAGACGAAGATCTATTTACGAAGATCAATAAAATGGAGAAGGTAGAACAACAGTGAAGTGCAGCGACTACGAAAGTGAAAGGTTGTAAAGGTGACGATAAATAACACCGTTTTAGATCTACATTTTAATTCCCTACCTTTTAAAGTTTATGCTTTATTTCCTTTTTCCTTAACAAAATAAGATGTGCCTTGTTTTAATCCAAAACTACTTTGATAATCTAAAAGTGTAATACTGTATAGAGTAATTTGAGAATGTAAAAGAATAAAGGAAAATGAATAAACTGGTATATTAATGAAGAATTAATAAAACAAGGAGAATGAATACTTCATATAATAGAGAGTTGATTTTGTCAATGGTGTTTTACAAATGATTCCCTTCATCCCTTTATAACTGAAGTTATCATCCTTTTTGCTTAACATCTAACTACCCAACGACTTCTACTCTCTTGCTATCAGAATCGGAAGTCAGTTAATACTTCCTATCTATTCCTCAGTTTAAGCTTGATCTAGCTATTCTTATCGGGTCATTCAAATACCTGGACTGGGTCTTCATCCTCTTCGTACGACTTTGGGACAACTAAAATATTATCTGGTCAAGAGCCAACTTTTGTATTAATCATTTGATTAATTCCTGGCCCAACAATTGCTCCCATTCAATAAAGGTCATTCTCAAAAAGCGTGTGATTCTGATTTCGGGAACCACATTTTTTGAATTCATAGTGCCCAATTTCTATTTCTCAATCGTAGTGGTTCTATGACAAATCGTCTCTTAAGCTCCTACTCTATTTTTGTGCATCTACTTTCGAAATCCAAAAGAGAGTTCCATCTGTATTCATTCACTGAGAAGAGAAGCTTTGATATGATAGTTTGCCATAGCCTCCGAAGGATTCACCCGACAAGGATTTTATGCTCCCAATGTAGTTCAAAATGTAATTTGTGTCTGTCATTTCACATCCGATAATAATGTCTTTATTAATTTAAACCCGTTTAAGTTTTCTGTAAAGGATCTCCATACAAGGGCACAAATTATGAGGTGTAACAACTCAGTTGAACTATATTTTCCACCTCGGTCATCCATCTCATCCTCTCCATAGTCTCTTATGGTTGTTCCTACCGAGGTGTGGCATAACCCTCTTAGGCACCATGGCGGTCCCATTTTTAGTTATCTAAGAACAATTTTTTTCCATGTAACCACATTCCTTTTTTCCATTATATTTCATGCCAACTTGGAAAATATAATAAATGACCTTTTATAGTTCTACTTCTATTATGGAGGCTCTGTTTGTAATTCCCTTCCTTATTTGGACATCACATGTTTTAAGTCCTTCGAAGTTGTCGCTATTTTGTTCTTTTTATAAATGATTACACAAATTGTATGCGGATTTATCATGTGAAAATAGATCTCAAACATTTTACGCATTTTTTCACTTTTATACTTCAATCCCTACACAATTTGGGTGACATATTAAAACATTTCAATGTGACAATCGCAAAGAATTTGTTAATACTTTCTTTCAGCAATTTGATTTTAATCATGGCATGCATTTTTATTCTCTTTTCCCTACACATCCCCTCAAAATGGTAAAGGTAATAGAATAGTTCCTTCTATTGATAACATCGCGCACACACACTACTCTTACATGCCGCCATGCCACCAACACGAAGACGTGACGCCGTTCAAATGATCACTCACCTTCACAATATTCTCCCATCCAAAACACAATCCCACCACTCACCGATAGAATTGTTATATTGACATCGCCCCAATTATACTCACCTCTGGGTATTTAGTTGCCTGTGTTTTCCTCATAAATCTCCCACTATAGTACATAAACGTCAATCACGTTATACACTATGTGCCTTCCTTGGTTTTCTCTCTAACCACAAATGTTATAAATGACCGCATTAATAATATTGCCATTTCTTGCTGCGTCACATTTTTTGAGAACAAATTTTCATGCAAAACTCACACCCTTATAACCTCCATGGCTTTCTAGTTTGTGAGCATCGATATTAATCCTCTTTTCCGTTACCCTATAGGCTATAGCCTCTCTGCAGGCTCAGTCTGCCCACTTCGTGTGAGTTCATATCCACAGTCAAGCCCTCATCAAGTTGGCCCATAACCAATCAACCCCCTCCCTTCTCCTGTGATTAAGTCTCCAATCTATCTATCATCGTGTGAGTTTGTCACCTCCCAAACTGACTAAAATACTCCTTCGGCTTCTCAAACATCACCCTCACTCTCAGTATCCTCCCCTCCTCCCCCTCGTCACCCGATGCTCACTTGCAGTCACCCAAACATCTTAAGCAACAATTTAACCTTGCCACACATAGCAGTACATGTCCCTCATCTATTCCTTGATCACCTCTCACTGCTCTTAATGACCCAAATTGGTAATCTGACATGTTTAATTTGATGAATATAGTGGAATTATAAAAATTAAGGTGTCGGAGTTGGTTCATAGTCCCCTAATGTTAATATTACTCATTCTATATGGCCTTCTGCAAAATAATTTCTGGTTAGATGGAAATTTGGAATGTTAAATCCCAACTCATGGTCAAAGGTTAATGTCTACATATTAGAGTTGAGTCGTTTACTATGATTATACTTTCATTCTGGTTGTGAAACCCGCTACCATCTTGATTTGTACCTTTCTTGGTTGTTTCATCAACTTGAGATTTCATCCTGTAAGATCAACCAAATAAGAGGAGTAGTCCAAGAGTTTATATATGATAGTTTATATTTTTATATGTGGGTGGTGTGAGATAGCTTAATAAACCCCCTAGTAAGATGGTGGTTCTTTGGAGCAGATCAATCTTGTAGTGTTTGTGCTCAATTGTTAAGGCTTACGAGAAATTAATTGATTGTTGTATTGTTGTATCTGTCCAACTCCTTTGTCCAACTCCTTTGTTCATATAACGAATAAAATCCCGAAACCGAAGAACAAAAAGCGCGACTTGCGTGTGCGGGCGACCTGCACACCACGTTAATTTTTGTTCTTCTGGTACGTTCCTATTTTATTTTTGCTCCATGCAGCAATAAATGCCCAACGTCTTTGCGTCTTTGTACCTTGCAACGGGTTGGGACAGCTTTGCGTTTTTTATGCTCCGGAACGTTGCAGCATAAATGCCCAACGTCTTTGCGTCTTTGTACCTTAATGCAGCGGGTTGGGACAGCTTGCTGGGAGAATCCATGCTAGCATGCTGCCATTGAAGTCCCAACGTTCATATGAACGTTTTGGGCTGTTTATTGGCTGGAATCAATGCCCAACGTTTAGGACATTGATGTCCAACGTTCACAAGCCTTAAACAGCCATTAACACACCATAATCCACCCCTATAAAAGGCTAGTAGGTGCTTTGCTAACAACGCACGTTCATACACTTCGTACACATACTTTCAGAGCTAAAAACCACCTCTAGCATTCCATAAAAATCTTCTGTGTTCAGAGCTTTGTTCTCGTTCGTTGGGACCATAGTTTGAGTGCTAAACTATCGTTCGAAGTCATCGTATCCTGGGAAACGATCGTTGGAACGCTCCTAGCACCCCGGGAGGCAACGAATACGTTTTAAGGAAATCGTGCGTAGCACGAGCTTTGGCTTATTCTGCTTCATCTCATTTCTTGTTTTTCTTTAAGTCATTTTATTTAATTAACTTTAATTAATTATTTTTCTTAGTTTTTCGAAACACACCAAACAAAATTATATATATACTCCATATATATATATATATATATATATATATATATATATATATATATGCGACCAAATTATATAGATAGTGTAAAAATATTTTCTTTGGTGAAATAGACTCGATCATTCCTAATCAGTGTAGTTTTATATTTTAATAAATGGAGAATTAGAATGGGTTTGAATAAGAGGTGGACATTAAAAATAAGTTTTAAAGTTTAATATCACTCAAAATAGGGAGTGCAAGTCAAATCTTCCCATCAATAAAACCAATAAATGGAAGCACACCGGTTACTAGGGGTGAACAAAAAACTGAAAACCCGAAATCGACCAAAAGCGAACCAATCAAAACCAAAATCGACTAAAATCGAATCAAACCGAAATCGACTAAAACTGATTAAACATTGGAGGTTCGGTTTATGATTTCACCTTTTGGGTTTAAAAACTGAACGAACCAAAACCGACCAATAAAAACCGGCAAAAACATGCAAACACAGACCGAAATCATAACACTGACCAAAATTAACCGAACTGAAACTGAATCGAAACCGGTTCAAGTAGTGCGGTTCGGTTTACAGTTTCACCTTTTTTAAAATTGAGCCTGATAAAATCGAAAATGATGAAACCGAACCGACGAACACCCTACTCGTTATGGGAACTTGGGACTTGGAGGTATCACTTGTCAAAATGATAAGTGAAGACTTGTCTCTTATAGACGTTTGTGGTATAACCTTTCCCATAACCTCACGTCACGGGAACGTCAATGTGCCTTATAAACTAAGAAAAATCCTACTTGTACACAAAATTTGTATACATTTTTTGTGAACACTCCGTAGTTGCCTGTGTACACAGACACCTCATCCCAAAACAGTCTGTATACATTTATTTATATTTTATTCCTCAAGTAGTAATTTCTTGAAAAAAAGGATGACACCCCATCCCTGAGGCCCCCCAACACCGACCGGACGGCACGATGGGAGGATGTAAATTGGACTATAATCACAATCTGACAGATAGAGATTGGAGCTCCGTCCCCGGTACTTGCAGAGTCCCTATGCATTTTTAGCATAGTAACCTCTCATCGCAGTTGCCGGGATTCGAGCCCGCCGGGACCTAACCCTTGTGGCACTCCCTCGCTACCAGTTGAGCTACACCCACCGCTAATCCTCAAATAGTAATTTCTTTGTATGTATATATATAGTGTATTATAGTCCTTATATATATCTTTGGTAGTATCGGTGGCCCTTAACTTATTCGAAGGCAAATAATATTATCCTCAACGAACCGACTCGACCCCTACGTAGGTACTTCTTATCTCCCAGCCGTTTCCACGATCTCTTCCCCCTCGTCAACCGCCTACAAACTTCCATTCTTCCCATCCCCTGCCCACACGTACTCCCCCTCCCATAATCCCCCGGCCCCACCGTCACGTGATCATCATTCCCTATATCTCCACGTCCTGCTCCACTATTTAACCCCCGCCCTTTTTCTCTCATTTTCATTCTCCATCTCCGTATATACAAACTGAAATCCAGGCGTAGCTAAGGGTGAGGATGCCTAGCTGATTTCAGACTTCCAGCATGCAAAATCTGATAGGTAAATTTGGTATATATGAGTTGTACTCTTAATTGAGTTTCACAATAATGTGTATTTGTGTTGTGCATATTTTTATTAAGAGTTTTTGCTGCTTTTAGTCCTCCCACAGACACTTTGATTGCTCAAGTTTTTGCACATTTAGTTTGTTCCGTGAGAGACGATTTTATCATTTGTCTTTCAATTTTTCCTTTTTATTTTTCCTTTAAGTTATTCAGCTTTCACAAGAGTGACATTTTTGATCATTTAGTTAAGGGCTAGTTTTTTTAATACTAAAAAACAGGAAGGGCTATGCTTTACTCTGCTACTTGCATAAATTGATTAGTGCAGGACAGAGTTTTGGCTAAAGGGCCAGATTTTCTCTTTGAAATTCCGTTTGGATTGAGGTTATCCCTATTAGTATAGGTTAATAACCTAATTAAGTCAAAGTCAAACCACGATAATCATATTATTTGTCGTCCCCTGCAATTTCGACATGCAATATATGTACTAATGGTTTGACTACCTATTCTCTGCCAGAGTTTAAAAATTAAGATTAGTTTTACATATTTGTGCGAAGTTTAATTCTCATATAACTACTCAATTTATGTATGTCCTCCCTCCCTGCTATTGGATTTTGATTATTTGTTTCTTCAGAAAACTTTTTCACTTTCTCATTAAAGTAACCAATATTTCTCTAACTTTCTCATTAAAGTAACCAATATTTCTCTATCTGGTTCTGCTCGTTTTTCTATTTCTCCGCGCAAAACTCAATCACACAATTTTTACTATTCTTGTTTTTTTATTTAATTCAAAGTGTCCCAATGTCTATTGGGACGGACGGATTTCGGTAGTTGGTCTACCGCGACAAAAAAAGGCATATCTCTGACTTCAAAGGAAGTTTGAGTCTTACATATCACTTTATTTGATCGAAGATATAATGGAGTATTTGTTAGACTTGATTCTCAAGTAACCCTTTAAATTTGGAGTATTTTTTATGAACTGTTTCTTTTCTATATGAATCCTTCTCCTTGTGAATTTATTTTTTAAATTTCTCACTCAAGCTAAACACCCTTAGCTTACATTTAAGTAGTTCCTGATACACGTTAGTTAACATTTTACGTTCCTTCCATATTTTAAACATTTGCTATATATGGCTTTGAATTGGCATACCAAAGTAATAGGGGGTAAAAGGAATAGTCTTGAAAACAAAGATGTAAAAGTATGAAAGTGAAGATAAAAAAGTAGAAAAGGTAAGGATAATCTTAAAAAATGAAGAGTTTACTAAAGGATTAAAATAAGGAAGGATTTTTTTTTAAAGAAAGTTGATGATCAAGTCATGCAACCCATGCATGTGGATGTAGTCATAAATTACACAGAGTACGAAGTAATTTTAAATCCCTTAGCAGTTCGATCAAATCATGACTTTTTAATTGGAATTTACAATTTGGTATCTTAGTTCTACTACATTCTTTGTGAGTTTGTGGTAATTATATATCCCTTAGTTTGATAACCAAATCAGTACTTTTTAATAGGAATTTATTGCAATTTTCGCTCATGCAGATGGTACCTTTAGTTCTACACTTCTACTAAAGGTTGAGTCGTTTTACTAAATACCCACCCTCCAAACCTATGAGTTGCTCAAGGAATTTGTGTTTTTTTCATGAACAAATTATTTTCATTTGGGTAGAGTCTTTTTAAACATTACCCCCCAAAACTCAATAAATTGGTACTACCATGTGATAGGAAGTTATAGTTATACACGGAATCAAAGTGAATGCCTATCTCAGAATCTCAGATATTTGACATATGCCTATGTATTAACCTCAATCATATCTTTCCATTTTATTACACAAATTACACAAGAGAAAGTTCTCTATATGAGTAGAATATACTAAATTCGCACACCATTGTTTTTCCCCTAAAGTATCACTCATTCCTAAAATTAAAGAAGTTTTAACTATTTTTTCTTTTATTATGACTAGGTATGGCATATTTTAGGAATAAAGCTTAATTAATTTTAGCAGTAAGCTTTGTCTATATTTTAATACTATTTTAATCGATCCCTTGGGAGACATTCCACGGTGGGAAAAAATGTTTTCATAACACCATTTTATCTTTATATCTATATATATGACTAAAACATTCATACATTTCTAATATTTGATTAACGAAATTAAACATGACTCTATACGAGTAATAACTAAATTGAAGGGATGAAAAATAGTATCAAGGCACATAAGATACATGCAGAACACCACTAATTTAGGAATTAAAAACGGATTAGTCATGTTTTAGGAATTAACACCACTTATACTCACTACTCATACTCATAGTACTTGGCATTTTATTGTGTTCAGATAGCTCATGATTAATGTTTCTATGTTATAATTAATTAATCACATAATGACAAATTAGTTCAAATCCTCAGGCAGGGATGCTCGACTTAAGTGGAGCATGGAGCACAAGTACCTCACAAAACAAAAAGAAAAAGCAAAAAAGCAAAAAAAAAAAAACTTTTACCACATTGATTAACTACTTTGACCTGAACAAAGTTCAAAATTCCAGGAGCAACTGCATGCACTTGACACATTACCACCGACTGAGAAGAATACAGAGAGATATATATATACACTTGAAAGACTGAAAGAAACTGATCGAAGATGGTCGCTCCGGATTCAGAAATGGTGTCTCAAAGCGAGGTGGAATCCGCATTGCAGCTGCAACCAGCAGGTCATCATCAGAATAAGAACAACAATACTGGGTATGCATCATCATCACTAGGCAGGCAGTCCTCCATATACTCTCTCACGCTTGATGAGTTCCAGCACACTCTCTGCGAAAGCGGCAAGAACTTCGGGTCTATGAACATGGACGAGTTCCTCAACAGCATTTGGACTGCCGAAGAGAACCAAGCGCATACTCATGGCCCTCCACCAGCAGACGCCTCTAACGATGTCATGATGCATAATTTCGTGCTCGGCGATCATCACCATACTAATACTTCTAATAATAATAATAATGTTCCCGTGGTTGACAAATGTACAACCACCGCAATGCATCCAGGCTTAGCCCTGGCAAGGCAAGGCTCCCTCACGCTCCCGGAGCCGTTGTGCCGGAAGACCGTGGATGAAGTGTGGGCCGAGATTCACCAGCAGCGCAGCGATGGGAAGTTCCAGAACAATCAGGCAGCATCCGGTTCGAACGCACAGAGGCAGGTTACGTTTGGAGAAATGACGCTAGAGGATTTCTTGGTCCGAGCTGGTGTGGTGCGGGAGCAGCAGGGGTTTGCTCCCGCCCCACTTCCACCCTCATCCCACCATCAACCGCAACAATATGTGACGTACCAGAACAGCAACAATAACCCCGTAGCCATGGGTGCACCTTATGTGGCCCCGCGATCCGTCACGGGCTTATGTGGTGGCGGTGTTGGTGGGGGAGTTGGTGTCCCTACACCTTACCAGACACTTCCACAGCAGCCAGCACCAGTGACTGTTTATGGAGGGGCAATGGGGAACCCATGTAGTGCTGGTGTCGGGTATGGGCACGTGCAAGGAGGACCCGTTGGGTTGGGCTCACCGATGAGTCCGATTTCTCCTGACGGGCTGTGCATGAATACCCAAGGGGCTGACGGAGGAAGCCACTATGGATTAGAGGCTGCGGCCGGGATGAGAGGAGGAGGGAGGAAGCGAATCATAGATGGGCCAGTGGAGAAGGTGGTAGAGCGGCGACAGAGAAGGATGATCAAGAATAGAGAATCTGCAGCTAGATCCCGAGCCAGAAAGCAAGTATGTATCTATTTCTTTTTGTGCATTTCATTGTATAATGAAGTGATCAACAAAAAAACTGTGTAACAATAATAGATTAATAACTTTCAGGAATCTTTCAGTAAATATATATTTTTCTAACAAATATTGTTTGGGGTGTTTTTGTAGTCACAAGATATCATTCCTTGAAACTATTTTCATGTAAATGGCCCTTGAGCAGAAATTTGACACATTGTATTGCGTTGCAGGCTTACACAGTTGAACTGGAAGCAGAACTGAATCAGCTGAAAGAAGAAAATTCCAACCTCAAACAAACCGTGGTATGCACCGTGTGATACAGAGTATGTACGTTAAATCTGTTGAGTCCATGCAATAAAAATACTAAGTTTGTTCTGTTTTTGTGTTTCACATCAAAGTGTGATCTAACGGCAAAGTTGGAGAGGAAAAAGAATGAAGAGGTAAATGAATAGTCATAATTTAGCAGCACTCACATCTGATCTATTCTACATTTACTCAGTTCATTAATTAAGTAATTCCGCGGCGAGAAGTAATATAGAAGGTGTTCAATATTTCGAGTTTCAGAGTTTAGAGGAAATGAAATCAAAAGCATGCACAAAAGCGGAAAAGGCGGCAGAGAAACTGAGGATGGTTAGGAGGAGCACGAGCTGCGCTGCTGCACTTCTTCGAGCCATCTGATCATATTTGCACACCCAATTTTGTGAACTTATACATACATAATATACCTAGACATATATACATACATAAATGGTTGGGAAATATACTTTGGTAGGAGAATAGAGTTATCTTTTATCTGTATTCTGTAATATAGACTATTTCAGTTATGATACTTGATTGATAGGAAATGACATTAGGAAAAACTGCTTGCTATTATTTCAGCATGACTGCCTGGACATTCCAAATGCCACCTTGATCACCTTGAATCAGGCAAAAGCATGCCTGTTCTCTTATACTTCTTGGCATCAAGAATATGCTGGTGCACAAAGAAGTGGACTTTACTAGCTAGGGTTGTCATTTTCCCTCTTATCTCATTGTCTACAGAGATATGGGGGAGATCATTCTAGGCACTAGCTAGTCAGACTCCCCTGCTGAAGAACGATTAATGCTCAGTAAGAGCTACAACATAGAAAGGTAAAATAGATCAGGACTTGATCTTATAAATGGATAAATAGTTTTTGGAGAAGGGATTGAGATCCCCTATAGATAATATGTTCTCTTTTTTTCCTGCTGTGAGGTTCATGCTCATTTTTTCTATACAAAAATATAACATAATGGAAAATTAAGTTTATACACGTTTTGTATACGTGGTAAGATGTGGTAAAGAATCTAGAAGTTATCTATCTCCAGCTAGACAACCAGAGTAGTCAAGAAGCTAGGGTTACATTCTTGGCAGAATGGGAAATTGATGTTAAACATTTGACATGGTCAATGGTACTTAGAAACCAAGCTCTCTGTGAATATAGCAGCCATCAAAGAGTATCCTGTTCTGTGGGGTCCAAGAGCCCTGATTTCCTTCATCCTTAGATCACACATATGCAGATACCAATTAATAACTTCTAATAAAGTTTCACCATCTTTGATCTTTCCCGTATCCTAGCAGCCTCTTGATGTTCAAATATGGTCCAAGACATTTTGGTCCAACACATCGCCTTATTCATAACCCGTATTTCAATACTTGTCTGCTGCATGTTGAGAGGTTCATAAAGAAACATAGCCACAGAATTATTGTACACAGCTATATCTCCTTGCTTTGATCTGAACATTTTTGGTGCTGGGATGTGTTGAAAAACATCATTCCTCATGTCAAATCCAATGATGTTGCAATTGTTGTATGTCTAGCTATCACGGTGTTCCAGTAGTCTCTTATCCAGATAACTTTATAGACACTGCCAAATGGATCCATTCCAAATCCCAGTTTGTATGAATTCATGTGAAGCGAGTCTGACACAATTGGTTGGGAATGTGGAACCTTGTAGCAGGACTCCAAAGTCTTACCTCTCCAAATTCTTTTCTAGGAATTTATTTATAATTCTTTTTGTATTATATTTTCAGATGTAATAACTTTAAATTAGTATTTTAAGTCCAGTGAAATATATTACATCTCGTGTTGTCATTATTGCTTCATTGCCTGAGACTCACTGCACAAGACACTAATAACGCTTTTTAGAAGATGAAGTGGTACAATTAAGTCAAGTGAACCCTACTCAAATAATTCATTAATGCATTGCTCAAAAATTCATCTTCTTGTACCTCATCAGGTATGGTTTGATTCATATTCACAAACCCAAAAATCACAAAACCTAATACGGAGTATCATAAAAAAATATAGGCGTCGGCATGGTGGGGTCGTGGCCTGGGGACAGACGTGACAAGTAGACATGGAGACGGCGGTGGCGGCCGCGGGTAGGCGCGTAGGCATGGGGACGACCACGGCATGGAGACTGCGGCAACGACGCACAGACATGGAATAGAGAGCCCTGATTCATGGCAGAGTGTGTGACTCATGTCATTCTTTAACCACCTTCTGGCTAGGTATCTTCTGTTAGTCGAGGGATGTTGGCCGAGGTGCAAGTGCACCTCGAATCTAGTGTTCTTCATGCTCCTAAACGATTTTGTTTGGGATTCTTGGACAAGTCTAGTCGAGGTGACATGTCCTAGGTGACTAGTACGGATAGTAGCTATATTTTTGCATTCTGGATTGGATTTGGTTGAGAGGTCCAAGTGGTGTCATGGGCTTGGGCCGTTGTGTGTCCAAAAGTATGTGGCCCGTAGATCTGAGCCCATATACTCTATCAATAACAATTATTTAATAAAATTTTATTTAAACTTGTCAAGTATTTTTAATTAAAGCAACATATGATATATAATAGAGGAGGCAATGAGGTGTTTGGTTAATGGCCTATCATCCATTTTTTACCATTTGGAGTGACTTTGGTTATTGGCTTTGTCAAACAGCTGTTATTGATGTTTAGTAAACAACTTTTTGGTTTTGTTGTTTGCTACGAAAAATCCAAAAATGAAAAAAGCAACCATGAGTAGCTTTTTACTACGATTTCTTGATATTATTTTTCAAAAAAGGAAATAAAATGATAAATAATTATGACAACATAATAACACCAACAATAAATATCATCATGAATATAATTCCTATTTTATAATATTACTAAAAATAATTATAATTAAAGTATTAATAGTAAAACATATCAATTGTGTATATATAATAGTTCAAAATAAGACTGTAATATTTTAGAGCATTAATGTAATCGTGGTGCATGTATGTATATTAAAAATAATAAGAGTGATTATATAAAATAATGGTTAATGTACTTATAAAAATAGCTAATATAAATTCATATATATCTCATATTCGTACAACTAATAGTCATTTTACGTTTTAACAACTAATTGTGAACAACTAAGTTGCCAAACACTTTATTTAGAACCGCTGATGACAGAGGCTGGTCGAAACAGCTAACATAATCTGCCGATATCATATCGTACAACAAATATAATCAGCTATTAGCTAACAATTGATTTCCAAACACTCCGTATATATATTACTAGTTTTTCATAACGCGCATTGCGCGTTGTCCAATATTATCTTTGTTGTTCGGGCAAAAAGATGTATTCTTCTTTAACACAAATGCCTCGTAAAATTTATACGAATTAGATATTCTAAAAGTAATATACCGTTTGGAGTAACTTCTAGAAAATCAAACTACTATTATTCGTCTATTACATACTAAATATTTGCATGCCCCTATAAAAATGGATCTTGATGTCAAACACCTATTGCACCTCCTAAAAGAAGGTCATGAATGTAGTATGTTTTTTTATAATAATAATAATAATGGTAGCTTAAATAATCGGTTCTTTAGTTTTATATAATAGGATGCACCAAATATGAGAGATATAAATTTGTTACCGTACTAGTACAATACATTAAGAATTTAAACAAAAATGTAATCTGACATTAATTAAATATATGAAAGTCATTGGTAACTGGTAAGCTTCACCTTGAGTAGCGAGGGTGATGTGACATTCGTGTAATTTCCATGCTTATGTTTGTATTTTTAATTAATTTTGATTGGTTGTTGCTTAGGAAATTACACACTTTTGGTGTAATAATTTAGTTTGTAAAATAGTTGTAATCTGTTTAGATTAGTTGTATTCTGAGCTCAAACAGGTCCAAAATCACTTTAGGGACCATTGGTGAACATCACAAGTGGAAGGAAGGTGCAAATTTTCAAGACAAAAGTGAAGATCCTGAATTTTTGTGTTGTACCCAGTCGAGTATAACCTATACCCGATCGGGTATGTCGCTGAAAAATCAAATCGGATCAATTTTGGAACAAGGCAACGTGCAGGGAAGATTTCGACCACGTTCGGGTGTCTTACCCGATCGGGTAGCCGACATACCCGGTCGGGTATGTCCCAGTTTTTGCAGCTTCCGCGAAGCAACTGAAGGCCCAATAGAGTACCTTATATACTCGATCGGGTACACGACCCTGCAAGCCCAAAAAGCCTTTAAATACATCCCATTTCCTTCCCATAAAAATCAACAATTGACATATACTTCTTAGCTCAGTTTAGACAAGTTCTTTCTTTATATTTTCATCATGTTTAGTCTCCAAATGAGGAGCTAAACTCTTCCATCTTGGTTTTGCTACTTTGAAGCTTAATGATTTGTAAGTTGTGAGTTATTTTCTCTAATCTTCTTCCTTGAATATTAATTACTTCTTATTCATATTCCATATTAATATATTGAGCATTACTTAAAGGATCAACTAGTTTTGTTTCATATATTAATTATTACTAGAATCAATCGGTTAATACGCTTGTTATTAATTCGGTTCTTTCAATGGTAGTAAACTTGGATTGTTAATGCATGCTTCTCATGGTTAATAAGCCAAGGGGAATTAATTATATTGATTAAACCAATAAACCGCTTGTGTTGAGGTTATCAATCTCAATCGTTTTCATCTTAAGTTTATTGCTACTATCAAGTTAATATACGGCGCTTGTTCTATATTGACTCGATAGTAAGTTTTATTAATGAACGCATCTCGTTATTAATAACTACCCTCGATGAACTGGATATACTCCTCGATTGAGTATTCGAGAGGAAGATAGTTAAAGATATAACCGGGATCGACGCACATTTCATTAAGTGGATAAAAGCAAAGTCAAGTCTTCCTCTCATTAATTAAACCACATAAGTCGTTCATCTTTGTGTTTAAATATAATTTTAGTTCATCAACCAAACATAAAATCCCCCTTTGTTACTTATTTATTTCTATAAAAAGAAATTAAAAGTATTCCTTTCCATGTGGATACGAACCTTACTACACTATACTACGTATTAGTGTTGTATTGATTATTATTTTGAGTGCATACACGACAAATTGGACGTCATGACGCCTAAATTAACAATAACAAGGAAGAGAATGCATATAAGAGCGATACCACTGATCTTACTAGCCATATCTCCCTTGACCAAGTGTTTATTAAGAAGGTTAATTGTTATATAGGCGTAAACTAGGATGTGTGTGCTTGATTCGTGATTTGAATTCGCTTAAGACGATTCGAATTCGTAAAATTCAAATACAAATAAGAATATTAAATTTGATTCGAGTTGTTATCAAATACAAATAAGATTATCAATGTATTCGATTCGAATATTAATCAAATATATTCAATTAATAATAATGACAATATTAACATCAATAATAATAATAACAATATAATAACTTTTAAAAGATAACAATACCCTCAAAGTGTAGCTCATATATACATTTTTGCATACAGATTCCAATTCCATTTGTTATAAACCAGAATATAAATACAAATACAAATCAATTTTTGGTTCAGATGTCTTTCAGATACAACAA